ATCAGTGAAAAGAGTTATTTAATTCAATTATATTTTTAGTTATTAATAAATATATATATATATATATATATATATTATAGAAAAAAAATTAAACTAATAGTATTTAAAAATATAAATTTATTAAAATTATATTTAATATTAATTAAATATTTACTAAATATAATATTGTTTAGATAAATTATATTGTAATATAAAATATAATTAATATTATATAAAGATAAATGTTTTAATAAAGTAAATTAATTTTTATTTTTATATAAAATTTTTTTTTAATATATGTAAAGTTAAATAAAAATTACAAAAATTGAACAAAAACAAATTTTTAAAAAACAAAATACTATTTTTTAAAAAATAGTTATATATATCATTGAAATAATATTTATACAGAAAAGAATATATAAAATAAATAAATAAATTTCTTTAGAAAGAACTTATTAAATTTTATTTTAGTAAAACAAATATAATAGAAAATATTTTATCTTTTTAAAAGATTACTTTTTTAATTAAAATTCTTTTATTTTACAATTCTAATTAAAAATATATATTCTTAAAAATTAAGATTGTTTATTAATTTATAATATTTAATATAATATTTAAAAAATTTTTGTGTTTAAATAAAGTTTTATATTTTATATTTGTTTATAAGATATATATTAAATTATAAATAAAAACTATTTTAAAAATAATTATTTTATAAATATATATAATTAATAATAATTATACTTTTTTAAAATCTTGTATAATTGAAAAGTTCTAATATATATTCTTTTATATTATTAAAAAAATACTAAATATAAATACAATATGGACTAAAAATAATTAAACAATATATCAATTTTTATTTTTGTGATATTTTAATAACTAATTAATAAATTAAGATAAAAATATATTAATATATTTAAGAATATAAAAAACAAGTTTACTTAATAAGAATTTTAAAATGGATTATTAAAATTTCTTAAAATAATTAATTTTAATTATATTACACATAAATTTAATATTAAATATAGTTTTTAAAATTTTAAAATTTTTTTAATATTGATTTTATATAATAAAAAAAAAACTAATTTTAATAATATTTATTAAATATAATAATAAATTTTATAATTTTTTTATAAACTTAAAATTTTTATTTATTTATATTTATTTTATATTTAATTTTTTATAAAAATTTTTTATAAAAAAATTTTAAATTATATTCATATTATACTATATATATATATATATATATACAGTATATAATTTATAATACCTTTTTAAAAATTTTTTTTTGACTTTAATTTAATATTTTTAAGTAAATTTATTAATTAAGGATTAAAAAAACTTTGATATTTTATTAAATAGATTATAATATATATATATATTAAAGTTTTATATCAATATAATTGTTATTTATTGAATTATAATAAAAAATGTTGATTCAATTATTTTTTATTTACACTGTATTTATTTTTATATTTTTAAATAAATAAATAATTTTCTTTTATAAATTTAGTATTTAAAAATAAGATTTAATAAATTTTAAATTTGAATTTATTATTTAATAGTTATTGAAATATTAAATTGGAATTAATATAAAAGTTTATGAATCATTATTAAATTTTTAATTTAGTTATAATTTATTTGCTAATATAAAACTTAAAATTTTAGTAAGTGAATTAATTTTTTAAAATAAATTATTTTTTATAGTTAAATTATATTGATTTATAATAATATGTAATATACAATTTCAGAAATAATTATTAATAAGTTTATTAATATTCCAATAAACTTTTGTATTTATAAAAATCAAATTTAAAAATATTATTTGAAATTTGAAATTTATTAGTTCATTATTATAAGACACTTTAGAAGAAAATTGATTATTAAAAATATTAATAATGATTTTATAATTATTTAAAAAAATATAAAAAAAGTTAAATTGGAAATAAGATTCTTGATTATCTTATATAATAAAATTAAATTCAATTTCTTTTAAAAATTATATTATAATAAAGTTATATAATAAACAATTAAAAATTATATGTATTTAATTCAGAATTTTATTGTTAATCAAAAGTTTTTTATATAATATGATTGTATGTATAGTTTTTATATGATCTAAAAAAATAATTCACTTTAACTTATAATAAAAGCATTAATTATATTTATAACAAGTTTAAATTTTTTATTTGAGATCTAAAAAATAATATAAATATCAAATTATAAAGTACCAAGTTTTATCTAGGTAAAAATAAACATAGAATTCTTATTAATAATATTTTTAATTAATTTATTCTGTTTTAATATATAATTTCAAGTTGACAAGATTATTGCAAATATTTAACTATTAACAAATATATGATAAAAAATTTGATCAAATGTTAAAAATTTTGACAAAATGAGTTATAAAATCCATTAATAGATATGGTATCAAAAATTTTGAAGAAATTATATAAGTTTATTTATGAATATTATATGCTAAACTATAGATTATTTTAGGAATTTTGATGAATTTGTCAGGTTATTTACCAATTTGCCAAATAATTAGCAAGCAACATATTAAATAAATCATATTATCTAACGTATATTATTTGAATTCATTAAGTTCATAAATATTCAAGTAATTTAAAATATCTGAATTTTTAAGAAAACTTTAAATTAAAATCTTAAAGAAGAACAATTTAATTAGTGTTTTACGATACAGTATAATTAATGATTTTATAGTAACCAGTATATAGGGCTTTGCATAGTTTATAATATATTTAATCGATCGTATAAAAAAAACATTATGAAAATTTGTATAGAATTTATTTAAATAACTGTTTTTATCACTGTAATTTCGTTAAGGTGATATGTAAGAATTTTTTAATATTAAAATTTGTATAAGTAATTTGGATCTTTTGCAGTAATTTTTTCGGGAATTTAAAAGTTTGATAATTAGAGTAAGCATTTAATAAAAAAAGAAATGATATGCAGTAAACGATATAGGTAGACGTGATTTTTCGTAATTTGACCAGAACAAATTCATTTATTATTGTAACTGTTATATTGCAATTTAAAATGGCGATTATGATTACTTCTCTTGAAAAACTAGTCTAAATTTTATTTATTTTTTATTTAAAAGCAGAAGTCTGGAAAATTTGTGGAAAAACAAAAATATGAATTATCTAATTATTTACAAAAAAGGATTTCGAAGATGTTTATCAAACGATATTCCAAAAAAGGTGTCTATATTCTAGAAAAAAAAAATCTACGTAAATTTTATGGTAAAATTATTATTTCATAGCGTCTTTCGTTGTATAAATTGATATATAAAAGTGAAGAAAAAAACCCCAAAGTAATAACGATTAATGATCGTATTTGTAGTAGTAGTAGTCGTAGCCGTAGGGTTCAGGAACGGCAGAACGTTTATGGCCTTTATGATCGTGCCCAGGGTAGTAGTAGTAGTAGTAGTAATCATAGGGTTCGGCGTCACGCTTTTGTCTATCAGCTGTAATCGATATTTTAAATTAATTTTTAATAAGTGAACGTGGAGAATATAAAAATTAAAAAGAAACTAACCATCAGCAACAGCAGAACGTTTATGGCCACCAAATTTATATCCGTACGAATAGGGGTAGTAGTAGCTGTAGTAGTCATAGGCTTCGGCGTCACGCTTTTGGTTGTCAGCTGTAATCGATATGTTAAATTAATTTTAACCAGTGAACGCGGAGAAAAAAAATAATAATAATGGAATTACCTTCCGGATCGGCTGAACGTTTTTCTTCACGAGCTATTAAAAATCAATTTATAGTTAATAAAAATATAAAAATACATATTGCATATACCAATGTCCTAAATCAAAACCTTCTGCAAAGACCAAGGCTGCAAAAGCCAAGAGGGCAGCTAACACGATGAGTGATTTGTAGTTCATTTTTATCATTAAGTATTAGAACTCTATTTGTCTTGGGATTGTGAGGTGAAGAACTTTGGAGAGTTGGTTGAGGACGTTTATATACCTTCGACAGGTACTAAGCCTTACCCTATTTTCTGTATTAAAAAACGACATTAACTTTTCATTAAAACAAAAAGCATCCATTCTCATTCCAAGAACGAATTCATTTTCCAATTTGATGTCATTGTAATTCGAATGAATTTCCAAAGCCTTGATTTAAATCAGGCATTTACTATGGTTATTTTGCTCACGGGAATCTATCATCATCTTTTTTTATGAGAAGCTATATATAGACTTAATTATGGTAAAAAGAGCGAATTTATTTTATCCGTCGTAGTTCATTGTTTATCCAATTTGGTATATATAACAAAGTCGTGCGCATGGAAATTTTAAATATGGTATTCTTATAGACAATAACCTATTTTCCCCAATGCATTGTTAGTTCCATTTTAGTAATACAATCGTTTTTTGTGTGTTACAGTATGCCACACATTCGTGGAATTCATTTATGTTACTCATTCGTGGAATTCATTTATGTTACAGTATGCCACTCATTCGTGGAATTCATTTATGTTACAGTATGCCACTCATTCGTGGAATTCATTTATCATACCAGTAAAATTCGTGAATCTAATATTTTATTAATTCAAAAAAAAAATTTTTTTATTAATAAAAATTTTTAGATACAGTATTTTAATTATTATTTTTTTATTAATTATATAAAATATCACGCAACATACTATATACATTTTATTGGATTTACAATGTTTTTTAATTGTAACAAAGAGAAAAATAAATTATTTCCTTAATGCAACTTATTAAATATCTTAATTAGCATGTTTTATAAAAAAAACGCAATAATTTTTAACATTGAAAGTTTCTAATATATTATTGTATGTATCGCATATATTTTTATGATTATGAAAATGACCGATTTTTTCAATAATATTAATAAATGACATGCATTAATCGAAGCATTTGCTTCCTTTAATTATAATATACGTAAATCCTTTCACGCACAGTATATGATAAATAAATATAATTTATTTTACTCATTACTGGGAACTCCCCACATTATCTACAACTTACTCACAAATTCACTAAAATATACAACCGGAATAGCAGTAGGACCCAATTTCATGTTTCTCTTCCACACAATCACGTCTTCTATCAACTCATTCTTCTGATCTAATTCTAACTTAGGATCCCTTTCGTCCTTCTCCGACTTTAATTTTGTAACATTCTTTATCAGATCTTCGATTTCATCTTTCTTAAGTTTATTATGTTCAACCAAGAATTCTCGCAGTAAATCTTCAATTTTCTGATCATTGGTCAATTCTTTCGATGAGAAAAATGTTGTCAACTCTTCAACTTTAATGTTCAGACCTTGTTCGATAAGAAATGCATAAAGATCGTTGATTTCAATTTGATTCAATCTTTTTGTCTGTGCAGATTTCTGTGATCGCATATGAACAGATAATTTCCTTTGAACTGGCGATGACGGACAAATTAAAGCTTTATAGAATTCCAAAAGGTCAGATTTGGTGATTTTGCGTATTTCGGAAACTTCATTTTCAACTGTGAGTAGTAATAGTAAAAGAATGAATACCTATAATAAGGAAAGAGTATTCGGAAAGATATTTTTTTTTACCTTTGTCAAAATCATAATATCCCGAATTTATATGTTCCCAATATCGACGTGCTTCTTGAGACAAATTTTTCGGCTTTTCCAACTTTTTAGTTATCAGCGATTGAACCTGTTTTTGATATTCTTCTTCAGGCATTTCTTCAATTATCGCCTAGAATGTGCATCGGTTTAAAATTTATTTCCGTATTATATGACAACATAATCACTTTTCAATACCTGTAATTTGTACAAAAAATGTACAATTCTGTTCTCTAGATGAACAGTATCACGTTCACTTTGTACAATGATCCTTAATTAAATAAAAAATTACAATCGGATACTTTACAAATCCAGATAACATCCATTATTGCAATCACAGCATTCTCACCTCATGCCCAATGATCTGGCATATGACCTCAATCCACAGGATACCAAGTATCCTATATCAATTGGTCGGTGCTTAGTCATAGAAAAATCAAATATGGCTCAATACATAAGATTAATACCCAGCTGCTCTTTTGTCCGGAGTTGATCAAAACACGGTTCGTGAGAGACTTGTACCATCAAGCTGAATTTGGCCTTTAAATTCACATCCATCACATCACCACCTTGTATATAGTATTCTACTGCTGAATTAATATTATTTGCGTCGTACACGTCTCGTTGATAGACAAATTTCCTTCCTTGAGGTAAAACTATTGAGCGATTTCCAATCAGTTGTGTTGGTAAAAGGGGTTTGGGTCTCAAGATGTCTTCCACCATCTGTGACAATTTTAATGCTTCATCTTTGGACACGTTCCCATGTACTAAAGCTTCAATTTGCAAGTGAGCAAGTAATTCTGGATAAAATAATTGAACATCTTGAAGCGTAACATTTTCCAAAGCTTTCAATTTCTCTTCAATCGTCCAAATCGAGTTTCGAAATAAGTAAAAATGATAATACACGGCCTGTTCATTTGGCGCATCTAATAATGAATTGCGATGAGCCCTTTGAATTCTTTCCTTGATCAAATTGAATCTTTCAGGATCGTCTGTAAATTTCCTCATTTGTAGGAGTATTTTTTCTAGTAATACTGAAATTTTGTCATTAAATCCTCGGACAAAAATGGATAGACCATCAGCCTCAATATTAACGTTGTAATATAAGCTCGCAATTACGGCGTCGTAGGCATATTCCCTCAAAGCATCTTTGACTAAATCTTTGTATAATAAAGATTTGACATAGTGCAACGGACTAGCGTAGACCAAAGGACTAATACAAGAATTTTGTATAAAAAACAAAAAAAAACAGATATAAGGTTAGGGAAGGCAGTATCCAGGAACGTAATAAATATTGGATAATAGGCACCTGTTCAGCATAAAATAGACGCAGGCCTTAGGCACCCAAAATGTATCATCTTTTTTGTGCCATAATCGTGTGAGTGGCGTGTGCTTTATTAAATTAGGTCGTAATAGTGGCTTAACGATAAAGAGAGTTCTAATTAAGTATGTTAACTTATCGAGAAGAAAAACAAAATTTAAACCTTACCGTGACATTTTCCTTTTTTTCTATTTCAAAATTCGTTGGAATAAACTCATTTGGCGACGGAATTTTTAATTGAGGGTCAAGATCCAAATTTTGCAATGTCTAAACAATGAATGTAACATGAATAAGAAATCTGAAACAGATGGTAAACGTTTCGCATGAAGTTACCTGAATGAAGCCTGGGTCAATAGGTATGACTTTGTATTCTGTTCCATACCACTTTTCACTTTGATCCAAATCGGTGAATGATGGACTAACCAATGTAAGAGTGAAATTGTCGGCACGCAATAAATCCAAAATTTCATCGATCAATTTTTGATCATAATTTCTAATCAAATAAGGACCTAAAAAATTTTAATTGACAAGTTATTACAAAGTCTAAAAATAATTTGGTATCATAAAAGAAACTAACCCGAAATGGCCCATTCGCGTTTAAAAGGCAGATGCAAACTTGAAGCCAAAAATGACACATAATCCGCAGGAGAACTTGATTTCTCAAGAAATCGAAACTTAATAACCTGAAGATTTTGTAACTGTTTTTTTTTTATTTAATTAGCATTACCAATAATTTTGCTAATAAAAACATTGATGTCATCTCTTTTGAATGTTTCAACGTGAAAAAAAAGCAGATACCTCTCGAAAGATATACTCTTTATTGCAAGAATAGAGACATGATTTATCATTTCTTTGCACAAACCGCCAGGAGGAACCACCCAAGCCAACATAAGTCTTAGCCTACCTTGAACGCCAACTTTCTTCATCAATTTGATATGCTGGAACACTAGCTTCACAATCTCTTGATAGTTGTCTGTAAAAATTTTCCACTTCAACCTAAAAAATTTGAATCCAGAAGCGATCATAATACATATCTAACCTTACCTAGACCTGAGGGTGTAAGATTTATTGAAACGTTAAAGAACCCATGACCTAAGGTTATCTCACTCGAGCCAGCACTTGAACCGTTTGCCCATCCTAAACACTCAAGTTATTTCAAATGCCGTTGCTAAGGACTTTTAAAATAGACATTCTGATCTAACAATAAATCTACCTTTTATCTTGAGCAAGGATAATATTGAGCCGACGCCCTCATGCATAATTAAATGTGAAATATAGCTTGATGGCTTTTATGGAATTCTTAAATTAACGCCGATCAAGAAAAATGACAAAAAGCACCATAAAAGCTCTTGATCTCTCACCTTAACTTCGTAATACTCCTTCATGTCTGGAAATGGCCACTTCAGCTTTAAACTTCGAATATCTTTAATCGATTTCGCAAATAATTGTCTCTAAAAAAATTTTCGAAAGAAATCAAGAAATCCATGTATCTCTTCTTCGTGAACTTAATAATAATTATCTAACTACCTTTAATTCCTTTTCAGTGAATGGATGATCTCCAAATGTGGGTATCGGAAGGTTTTTGTTTTTAATATCTAAATTTTTTCCCTGATTACTAATGATATGTACTTTTTCACAAAATCAATCGATTTTCCTAACTACCCGAAAATTTCTCAACAACCCATTGTGTCAACTGATCCAATGAATCACGCCCAAGCACAACTAATTTCATATAATTAGCTGTGTAATG